CTCCTCTCTCTCTCTCTCTCTCTCTCCCCTCCCCTATTCAGCTGGGAACAGGAGGAGAAATTCACAATGCTTTTCCTCGATCATTCCAGAATTGAGTGGGTGCATTTTCCCAGTCACAGCTTGGAGTTGGCAACTTTCAGCTATGCAATCGTCAGGAACAAAATAAAGGAACGCACTGTGAATTGCCTGTTGGTACAAGTCCGTTAAGGAATGTGTATATCCGTAAAAACGGCAAAATAGTTTAGAAATTTGGATTCACATCTCATCTGGCTTTATGGGCTTCCTTTCTGGACAGTCGAAAAAACGGATCCTCTTACAACAGTAATTGATTCATGCAACAATTGAGAGCCATTGTGCCAACCCAAAACTGCTTTGAGGTTGCAATGTTCTGGACTTCAGTATCAAAAGTCAAAGCCAGCCCTGTGCCAGAGATGGCTCATCAGGCTGATGTGATGTAAGATGCCTCAGTTTCCATAGCCAGTAGTACACAAGTGAGCAATGTAGCAAGCATTATGTCTGACCACCTTTGAGTACCCTAACCTTATGGATCACGTACCCATTCTGCAGCTGGGTAAACAGGAGGGACCCTTTCCGGGTGAGATCAAGCAAAGCTCAAACCATGACTGCCGGGACTGTAATCAAGCAGTGTTTGTAAGATTGTCAGAATGGGCTAAAAAACAGTGTGAATATTATTGCCGGTCTTGTTTGGTTTGGAGGATGGTGGGAGGCAGGTTGGCGACCTTGGAGAACAGGACAAAAAAGGTTGGTTGAAGCCCAGAAAACCACATGCAACTCATCTAAGTTTTGGATCCTCTCGCCAGCTCTGAAGCCAACTCAGGTTCATGTAAATTTCACCTTTTAAGCCAACCTGTCCCCAATTTTGACTGAACTTTGTAGTAATTTTCAAAAGATCTCAACTCCCATTTGGGCTTGAAATAAGTGGCCAGCCGTAATTGCTACAATGGGAGCTGGCTTTGGAAATCAGGCCTTCTTCCTCAGGAATGGACTGACCCAAACCCCCAGATGCAAACGTCCCTGTCTTTGGAGGGGTGTGTAAAATCCACATTGAACTTTCAAGCCAGTGCTCATCACTACTCCTTTGTTTGCACCTCAGATCTGGGCAGACTTCATGGAAGCGGGGTGGGATTCAGAGTT